TGCTGATACCAGTTTAATTCATTATTAATGTTCTGACTGGCTTGACACTTGATAGTTACTGTGTCTCCTAGTGATGCAGTCTGAGAAGGAGATTGGATCATCTGGATGTCACATCTGGAACCTAGCATTGAGAAAGAAAAAAAAAAACACAACGAAAATATATAATGCTGCCTTTTCAGTTCACAGAGCTCCAAAAAAGACAGGTAGCACTGACCACTCTGAGATAAGCATTGCCATCATCCATACCTGGGATCCAGAGCAACAAGAGCCCCAGGAGATGAGCAGGAGCCCACATGTCTGTCCTGTGTCCTGATTTGGAGTTACTTCTGCACAGAGTGTGACCAGTCGGTTAAGAAGTCCTCAGAATATTGGGGCTTTCTCTGATTACATGCAAATCAGTGGGGTCTAGATGATGTGGGCAAAGATGCATAGCAGTTTCACTTTAGGTACCGACCACGCACCAACATCTGGTCCCAATTTTCTGGGTCAGATCAAGACATTTTGGTGTGTTCGGCAGAAAATTTCCTTCTCTCTAAGACTCATGGGACAGTTTGCCTCTGCTGTGATAAGAGGGGAATTTTTATGTGGATTGTGACTGGGATTTCTTGCTAGCTCTACTGTTTTTCCATCTTTTACAAAGGCATTTCCAGAAATGGGAAGATGTTTGAGAAATCAGTTTAATTTGGACATGTGGATATTCTTTTATGCTGGGTCAAGACTGGATTTCTCTGTTAAACAACCCTGGCTGTACTGGAACTGACCCTGTAGACCAAGCTGACCTCAAGTACTTGTGAATATTTTTGAGGCCAGAGAGAGTTCTTTAAGAAATCTAAATTCAAACCATTCTTTGTATTGCTATGATTCAGTTCCTACCCTTGTGTTCACTCTATTTCTCTTGAGCTCCCTGGCTGACCTTTCTACTCTGAAACCCTTAATGGTAAATACATGTGTTCTTGGTGACCTCTGCTGGAAAGACTGGTAAAGTTGCTTACAAAGAACTTCCTGTTTTCTTAGGTAATATTATGTCCTTCTGGAGTCTTTAATGGAGTTGAAGAGCTTATAGCTTTTATTAGTTATGATAAAAGATAAAGTAGAGATAAGTATTGTAACAGTAATTCTTGCTTGATATCTGTTTTGTTACATGTAATTTTACTGAGATAAAAATAAAACCTTCTTTTTTATTTAAACAGAAAAAGGAAAGTGATGTGGGATTACCATCTCCATGTTGTGATTATCATTAAAGAATAAATAAAATGCTTTGAGCCTATAGCAGAATTCTAAGGGAACAGAGCAAGGTGGGGAAAAATAGAGAGGATGCTAGGTAAAAGAACAGTAGAGTCAGAGAGACACCATGTAGCCCCACTGGAGACAGATGCCAGACCTTTAGCTGGTAAGCCATAGCCAAGTGACAATACACAGATTAATAGAAATGGGTTAAATTAATATGTATGAGTTAACCGATTAGAAAGTAGAGTTAATGGGCCAAGTGGTGATTCAATTAATACATTTTCTGCGTGATTACTTTGGGTCTAAGACAGCCCAGCAGCCAGGAACTAACAAGAAGCCTCCCTCCTACAACTTCCTATCACATCTCAGAACCAGAATGGTAGGTGGCCAAGCTATCAATTTTGTTAGAGCTCCACTGCTCTTTTGAGGTCCCTTTCAGCCAGTTAGCAGGTAAGAGACTGATTGGCAGAGTGCAATGCCACTAATACTACCATTAACATTACCCAGTGGCATCTCTTCTAAGACCCACTATGCCACCAAACTCCATTCAACTCATCATCTTCAGAGTGGACATACACCCCCAAAAAAGAACTTCAGCAAATTTTACAGGCACAGACGCAACACAGAGTAGATGAAAGAACAACCTACAACAGTCAGAAGAACATGAGGATACAGTAGACTAGGCACCCAAACACCCACAATATTTAGCTCAGACAATACTACCGGACATGAAGACTTGTCAATCACTAGAACTCTTGACCATTCTGACCAAAAGACAACTAAGGAAACAGAAAATAAAGAACAAGGATACCATCCAAAAAGAATAACACATGAATCAAAACCTAAATTGTATCTCAAATCCAGATTTTATATATATATATATATATATATATATATATATATATATATACATATATATATATTATTGTAAGAATATATTCAACAACAGAAAGAGAAGTATGACACCATTAATACTCAATGATTCTACAGCAGTAAAGCATGAAAATTCTAATGCATCCAAAGCACAAGAACTAACTTAAGGGGCTGGAGAGATGGCTCAGCAATTAAGGGCATTGCCTGCTCTTCCAAAAGGTCCTGAGTTCAATTCCTGGCAACCACATAATGGCTAACAACCATCTGTAATGAGATCTGGTGCCCTCTTCTGACCTGAAGGCATACATGCAGACAGAATATTGTATACATAATAAATAAATAAATATTAAAAAGAACTAGCTTAACATAATTTTATAAAGATTATGGAGTTCCTAAAAATGAAAATGAAATATTTCCATAAAGATTTTGAGGAAAACCTTCTTTTTTATTTAAACAGAAATGGGAAAGTGACAAAAATTTGAAGAATCAATAAATTACTAAAGAAATCCACCAAAAAAAAATAGACAAATAGGTGAAGGAAACAGTTGAAGATTTGATGATTGAGACAGAAACAATAAAGAAAGCACAAACCAAGAGAATTCCAGAAATGGAAAATCTGGGTAAGTGAACATGAACCACAGATACAAGTATCACCAACAGATTAGAATAGATGGAAGAAAGGAAGGATTTAAGGTATTTAAGATATTATAGAGGAAATAGATTAAACGGTCAAAGAAAATGTTAAAACAAAAATTTCCAAATACAAACATCTCAGAAATCTGAGACACAATAAAACATTAAACCTAATAATAAGAAGAATAGAAGAAGTAGAAGAATTCTAGATCAGAGTCAGAAAAAATATATTCAACAAAATCATAGAAGAAAACTTTTCTAACTTAAAGAAAGTCGTGCACACAATGTTTCATGAAGCTTACAGAACAGCAACTAGACTGAGCCAAAAAAAAGTGTCCTTGCCACAGAATAATCAAAACACTAAACATACAGAAATAAGTGGTGCAATAGAAAATGGCCAAGTAACCTATAAAAGCTGATCTATCTTACTTATACCAAACTCCTCAATAGAGCCTCCAAAAGCAAGCAGTTCTTGGAAAGATGCTTTTAAAATGCTGACAGAACAAGGATGACAGGCCAGACTAACATACCCAGCAAAACATTGAAGGTGAAAACGAAATATTTCATCCAAAATCAGATTTAGACAGTACTTATCCATGAATCTAGGCATACAGAAAGTATTAGATTGGGAATTCCAACCAAAGAAATTTAGGTATACCCAGAAAACCACAGGCAATAAAAAAGCTAAAATCAGAAAAAGCAAAGAAGGGAAACACACACACACACACACACACACACACACACACAATCAAACAACCACCAGTAAAAAAGCAAAAAAAAAAATAACAGGAATTAACAATCAATGATCATTAATATTCCTTAATAACAATGAACCCAATACACCAATAAAAAGACACAGGCTATCAAAATGGATACAAAAACAGGATGTCTCCTTTTCCTACATACAATACATACACACCCCAAATTCAAAGACAAACATTATCTCCAATAAAGAGTTGGGGAAATATTTTTAAATCAAATTGACCTAAGAAGCAAGTCAATGTAGTTATCATAATAACTAAGCAAATGGACTTTAACATCAAAAGAGATGGAGAAGGACATTTCCTATTCATCAAAGGAAAAACCATAAAGATGAAGCCTCAATTCTGAATGTCTATGCCCCAAAAACTATGGCATCCACATTAGTAAAGAAAGATTACTAAAATTTAAATCACACAATAAGACCACATATGAATAATGGTAGACTTCAACATTCTACTCCCACCAATGGACAGATTTTCCAAACCACAACTTAACAGAGAAATAAGGTAACTAAAAGATGTTATGACTAAAATGGACCTAATGGACACCTATAAGTTATTTCCCTAAAAAACCCAAAAGTATATACCATCTTCTCATCATCTCATGAAAATGTCTACTAAATTGATAGCATATAAGTCAAAAAGTAAATCTCAACAGATATGAAAATTGGAATATACCCTGTATTTTTTCTGATCACTGTCAATGTCTAGAGCGTCAGGGGTCCCTGGGTAAGAGTGTTGCGCAAACCAGAACACAGGGGATGCAGTGCGGAAAAACAGCATTTGCAACTGCATGCTGTATGTTTATTAAGTAATCCTTTCATACGCTTTGGAAACAATTACTTCAGTCACCAGTTTAACGAGGAACTATAGATCATGAGTTAACCAAGGACTTATTTAGATTATGTACAAAAAGCAGCTTAATGTAGCAAGGGTGGTCTGGGGGCTTGCAAGACATCCTAGCCTATTTTAAACAAGGGCCTCCAGAGACATTATCTCACTGTCCAAATCTATTCTAAGACTGCCTTCAGTGAGCAGAACAGCTGCTTCAAGCTGAGACTGCAGCCACTTCCACAAACCACAGGGTATGTGACACTTGCTCTCACAAGTAAAAGCCAGAGGAATTGTCACTCTGAAATGTCCCATAGCATTCCATGGAACTTCTCTTAGATTCCAAGGCAGTACTCAACACCTCCCTTGGTGTGGGTGGCACGATCCCTGCATTTTATATCACAGTCTCCAAATCTCCACAGATCACCATGGGGTAAAGTTCAACAACACAAACTTCAGAAAGTCTACAATCTCATGGAAACTTAACTCTCAACTGAATTACCACTTGGTTGTGGAAGAAATAAAGAAATTAAAGACACCCTAAAATTCAATTAAAATGAATTTACCAACATACCCTGACTTATGACACACAATGAAAACACAGCTAAAAGGAAAGTTTTTAGTATTAAATGCCTACGTAAAGAATTTGGATAATTCTCACAAGGACAACTTAACAACACATAAAGAAGAAAAGTCACCCAGAAGGAGTAGACAGTACTAAATAATGGAAGAGAGGACTGAAATCAACAAAATAGAAACAAAGAAAACCATATAAACAATCAATAAAACAAAGAGTTGGTTTTTTGATAAAATGAGTAAAATAGACAAATTCTTCAACCTATCTAAAAAGCAGAGAGAGACTATCCAAATTGATGAAATGAAAACTGGGACATAACACTACACATTGAGGAAATGTAGATAATTGTTACCTCATACTCAAAAATCCTGTTCTCTAGAAAAATTGCAAACTATAAAAGAAATGGAAAATCATGAAGTACCACATACCAGAATTAAATCAAGACCAGAGAAAAAAATTAAATAGAGCTATAACCTTTAAGGAAATAGAAACAGTCTTTAAAAGTCAGCCAAAAAAAAAGAAAAATCCCAGTGCCAGATGGTTCAGCTTAGAATTCTGCCAG